AAGTGATAAGATGGAAATTTTTTTGAAAATTAGAGGTTCTTTTATTATAGATATGTGGTTAAATGCGTGCGGAAATATCATTATTGATTTTGTCTATTTTCATTTTAATTTTTAATTTTGATCCCACATTAGTAAAAATCAAATATCACTGTTGTTTTGTAATCAACTCCTATTTATTATTTTAACACCTAAATAACTACGCCGTGATGGAAAATTTTTTATAAAATGATCCAAACAATAGAAAATGTTTTCGACATTTTATCCAAACAACAGAAACATTAAATTTTCTTGTAAAACATTTTACACAGAAAAAATTTTCCTCTAGTAAGTTATTTTCTGGTTACCAAACGGACTCTTATATAAATATTTGCTATATAGTTGTTTAGTATCACAATAAATATCTACTGAACAAATTTTTAGTGGATCTTGAATCAGTACCCTTTTTGCCTGTTAAGAGTCAAAGTGATTATTTCCATCCTCTACTGCAATTTTAAAGATTTTGCAAATGAATTTCTTTATGCTTGTAATTTCAGTCACTTAATGCAAGCTTTCTATAACTTATCTATCAAACATACATGCCCATATGCTTGCACAGATCATAGATGCATACAACTGGCTTCTTGCTGGGTTAGGGGTTATTTTTTTTTTTTCAGCTAGAAGCTGCCTAAGTTCAGTTGTGCACTCACACACACACACACACACATATATGCAAATCTAAACGTAGCCCAGCTTCTGGCCAATATGAATATGTGTGTGTGTGTGTGTGTGTGTATTGTATGTAAGTATGTATATATTCCACTTTAAATTTTTTGTTATTACTTATTAGAATATGCCACATTAGTTCATTTATACAAGTGATTCTTTCTTACAATTTAATGCAGCTTTTTTAAAGATGAAGACTATATTGCCAAATACGACTAGTTCTCCATATTTACCAATATGTTTCTAATGAAGGTGTTTAAGTAACATATTTATGTTTAAAATAAAATCAGAAGTCAAAACACTGCAAAGGAGCTGGTGTGTGGGTTCTAAGGCCATGGAATAGAAACATTAATTTGTTATTGAATATAGTTGCCAGTAAAACCGAACATCCTTTATTAAATTAATACAAGTACTTTATGTAGCAGAAAAAATGTATTCCCTCTGTCCTAATTTGTTTGTCCTATTGGCTTTTTTGGTTAAATTAACTCATTTTAAACCAGTTTACCATCCCAAGCATTTGATACCCATGCTTTCAGCAAGTCACAAAATAACAGAATTAACAGTTATAAATTGCATACCAAATTTATTTAAAAAATATACAGAAGAAAGCATATTTTGTCATATTCTAATGTTAGATGTCATGAGTGGCAATAGAAAATGTTATTGCAAGAAATATTTATTTGGTATTTATTGCTATAAAAGTTTTCTTATATATTTTTGGCACGCTTTTAAGTCCCCCATGTTTATTTTTTTCTGGTATCATTTGAATCAAGGTGATATAGGTTCATCAGTTATAATAAACCTTACAGGCCCAAGCATGATCAGAGAAAAATTCTTAGTTTGCCTGGGATGTTATAGATTACACCAATCATAGGATATGGGCTGAACTCTTCAAAAGCAAACAATATCCGAAAACTGTTTAAGAACAAAGAAATAGATGACACTGTTTCTAGAACATTGACTGTGAGAGGGAAGCACTGTTGAGGGACAGTGTGAGAGATTTGTTTTTAGATATATAGTACTCATACACACACATACACACATTTAAAATTAATGTTCAAAGATGATTTTGTTTGATGAGAAAAATCAAATAGGTACAAAAATATTGGGACAAAGGGAGTAATAGGAATAAAAGTTGAATTTATGCAAGGACTACCTATAAAACCCAAGGTTAAACCCTTTCAATTAAAACCTGGATGTTAGATTATGTTAACCTTTTGAAAAAGCTTTTAACGCTCATAATCACCCCTAGCCCTAATTATCTCTTCCCAGTCTTTTTCCCTCTCTGGAAACCTACATTGAACTCAATTTTCTTCAACTAAACTTCCTAAACCAAAAATTTCTATCGATGACTGTTTTCGTCTTCCACTCTCAAAGCAAATGCTAGAAGATCAGCCTTATTGTTATGGCTCCTAATTGAATTGATGCTAGTCATTAATATCTTGAAGCTAAGATCAGGTAGGAGCCATTCAAAATTTCCTAACAAATGGAAAGACATGGTTAAAGTTGGGGATCCCATCAAAGCACGTCTTGATTTTTGTGTCAAAGTGAATGGTCTCACATTTCAGTTACTTTGAATGATCCCCCCCTCTCCCAATATTCAAGATGTTCATGTTCCTCAAAATATGTTTGTAGACCTATTATTCTTTCATCTCCGCCTTCCTCATTAGAAGGGAAAGTTTTGTTTGTTCCCTATAGTGTGTTCTTGCAAAATTTTTTTTTTTTTTTAATTTTTCAGTTTCGCTTGCCTTCTTGCCTCTACACTTTCTTCAAGGGAGAGAGATTTAGAGCTTTTAATGAGACCAAAAGGTTTTTGGAAGGGGAAGTAAGGGCTTTGCAATTGTTTATAAAAGTAAAAAAGGCATCTGATGTGGCATGTTTTAATTGGGAGGTTTAGATGGGGGTTTTATAAGTAGGTCCTGATAGAAGTTAAACTCTAAGAACAACTCCTTGTCCCTAAAATAAGTTCAGTCTCAATAGGCTAGAATACACTTGCAAAAAGGACCTAAAAGTACATAAAATCCCAAAAGAAAAATCCTGCTAGATGTTATGTTAATGGTGCTCTGCTACAATGTCTTGATATGATGTCTAAAGAGTCCTTTTGTCTCTTGGTACCTTAATTGGAGGTTCCTTGTGATGTCTATGCAAGTTTTGCAACTGTTTCTTGTGTTGCTCTATCATTCCTGGCATCTTCAATATCTCTTAAAGTTGATTCATTCAAGAAACTCTTGCTGTTATTGCTGCAAATACAAAATTGTTTGGCACCAATACCAAATTTTATCGAAGCAATGAATCTAGATGAATAAAGAACGAAGAGTGAGACACAATGATCAGTTATATAGTCAAGGGACTGATCTAGCTAATATATAAGTCCAGGGAACAGAAAGCTTAAGCCATTCTTGGAAACTATTATTATTGGCTATAAAAACTAAAGCATGATTATTTTTTATATAGGATAAAACCCCTTATTGAAGTACATCTCTTATCCTTAATTTAAGTTTAATCAAAGTTGCCCAAATAACATGACGAAATGTACCCAAAAACACATAATAACACTTAGCTACTATTATGGGAATACTAACTTTTTTCTTCAATTTTTGGTTTTTTAAGTTCACCTTGGCATTATATTGGGAAGAGGTAAATTCCAGGATAAATAATGGAAGTGTGAAATTTAAATCTATATCTAAGAAGATTGACATCTGTTAATAAATTCCATTTGAAGAAAACAGCACAATAAATTTTATGTACAATAAATTATACTGAAAATATTGTTTTTTATTAGGTTAACAGTACTTAGACCAAGCCATTTTAGAATTTTCTATTAAATAATATTTCTAAATTTTAAGATGACTTGGTTACTACTTTGGGCACAATAAATGTTGGAGGTATAATTGATATTTAGAATTAGTTCATTCCACAATTTCAATGGGTTTTATGTTTTCCATTTGGAGGTGTACTCTTTAAGTTTTAATTTTGTAAGCATATTTAGTTGACAGCTTGAAAATATGCACAGGTGGAAGTAGGAAGAGGAAAAAATGATGAAACAGGGGAGTTCGTTACGGATCTCCAGACCTTTAGCTCCTTTGGTGAAGTTTCTTTCCTTTGCAACACTCCTCAGCCTTACACAATTCGAGTTCGTGAATTATGTAGGGTGCTACGACTTGATAAACAATCCTTTATGGAGATCGTCGAGATAAACTTTTCTGATGGACGTATTATCTTGAACAACCTTCTTGAGGTAAATTAACGCAAAGAATATTGCTCTCCTCCTTTGCCGCATCTTTTGGAACATCATTTCCTTATATTGGTCCATCATTATGATTATATTGGTATAATTATGATCTCTATTCACTGCAAAAGCTTTCAAGTGTCTTTTTCTAGCCAAGAAATGTGAAACCAGTGAATTACCAAGTTTCATTGCAGCAAATCTTTTCATTTACAGGGAAAAGATTCCAACATGCAGAATGAAATATTAGAGTCGGATGTTACCCTTTTTATTGGAAAGCTTGAATCTGAGCTAGCTGCGAGGTTGAATTGTGCTGCCTACAATGGAGATTTATATCGATTGAAACGTCTGATTGGAGCTGGAGCGGATCCAAATAAGACAGACTATGATGGAAGATCACCTTTGGTATGATTTACTTGTCAGCTAAGTTTTCCTTAAATATTTTAGAACCATACAACTCTGTTCTTTGAAATGTTACTACTCTATACTCTTTACTTAGCTTACAGTATAAATCTATTTTTAGAAAAATATATTAAGGTGACTTCAAATTATGGCAAATTGTAAGAAAGGAGAACTATTTCAATATGGAAAAAAAATGCATCAATCCATTTGAAATTGTGTGACACAACAAGAATGTGAAAGACTGTTTCTGTGTTTTGACTCTCCATAGTAACATTTTCCCTCCCTGAGACCCGCAAGATATAAAAAGAAAGAAGAAAGGGCCACCTCACAGGAAATGAAGAAATACAAGAACAAAAGTTTTCTAGATGATTTCTTTAGTAATGAGGATGCATAGGAAGCTCCTGTAGAGATATACATGGTTATGCGGGTAACAACTCCAAAGAATTTATTCTTAGATGATTTGAGTTAGTCACGCAGAAAATGGTGAATGAAGCAATGACACTACAGCTTTGGGATGCTACATGAATCTTAGCCTCAGAAAAAAACCATAAAATAACTCACAAGATTATCACCAAGTGAGCTGTATTTTATTATTATTGTTATACAGGTTTTGATCCATTTTACACAGTGATTGTTGGTTGAATGTTATCTGATGGGAGAGGTGAACCACTTTAGCAAATACACATAGAAATTATAGGGTTGAGGATTTAATGTTAAAATTAGGGAAAGAAATGTGGATGTTCATCTCTAAGTCTAGAACTATGCAATATTCCACCATCCTCAGTTTCCCTAAACTAATGTGTCGACCCATACCTTAAAGTGGTAGGAGTTTGTGTTTATAAGCTACTATTTGTATAATAATTCTAATTCATAAACTGCACATAGTAGACAAAGGAGTCTTCAAGTATTAGATAGTGTTGTGTATTGAATTTAGAGCACGCCAAGCATTTTGAATAAATGATGATAGGGATACATTATTATCTATCATGTTTAAGATTTGTTCTAGAGCTATTATCCTAGGTTCTACTGTATAGGTATTATAAAATCATTATCTCATGCACATTGTGAAATTACATCTGATCAGTTTCAGCGCCATTGGTGGTAAAATTGGAGACTTATTTATTTATTTATTTTTCCCTTTATTTACGAGGATTTAGATTGTAGGAAGGGATAGTGGAGTTATTACTCTAGACTTAGTACCGAACCAAGTATCTTACTCTTGAAGTGAGTTTGGCTTCTTTACAGTTAACTCCTTATATTCCCCCTACCCTCTTCCCAAGCCCTCTTTTTTTGGTCTTGGGATGCATTTAACACAGCAAGACAACAAGAAACAACTGTATATCTGTTTCTTTCTGTACTGTTGGCTATATTGCTGGTGTTATATAGGCAATCTTGTTTTTGGGAGCATTACGCATTCTCAGTAGCCTTTCCTTTTCCTTTGAATTTCAACTCTATAGCAGATGAATCTAAGCTTTCTGTATCTGATACCCTGAAGGCAGTTCAACTTTCAAGAATCCTACATTTAAAGCAGTCTTCTATCTATTGACTACATAGCTCTAATCCCAAGTATGAATCAAGTTTGTACTAGTTTTTGCTAATAAACAAGTAATTGACATGCCAAGGAGAGACATATTAATTGTGGATAACATGAGTTGCAAGAGGAAACAAACTGGATAACATCATTTCCTATATGATCCATGCAGTAAGAGTGGTCCAATATTTGTACTTCGTAGAGTAGGACTGAAGCAAAAATTAAAAGAAAAAAAACACACAAAAAAACTAAACAAAAAAAGAAAAAAACACATTTCAGTGTATTCAGTTGAAACAAATAAAATTTTAGTAGATGACTATCAGTCTAGTCATGTTCAATGATATTAAACTAGTTGCTTCTTCGAGTTTGCACTAGATATGTATATGGAAATGCAAGTACTGAGATGGAAAGTTCTCTGTATCATATCAATTTACACTGTAATGGAACTTGTGATTTTGACAGACATGCTGGCCCTTCCTTTAACCCTGCTTAACATAGAGGGCCTATAATAGTGCTTGGTCCTTCTTTCAGTTTTGACCCTCTTTAAGTTTATCAATTTTGTTTATTTGAGTTTGAGGCTTTGGCAGTGGCCAGATAAGCTGGAGCTCAGTTAAAATTTAATATTGGATCACAAGATCACCAAGCTGAGCTGTCTGGAGCCCAAGCACTCATACAAGACAAAGAGCTATGTTGAGGCTCATGCTTAATAGAAAATTTGTTCACCAACCTTCAAGAAAGAAAAATCATCTCAGCTAGTTTATTTACAATCCTAGTTGCCTTAACATTTAAGGGAAATATATTTTGCTAGGTGTACACTTTATTTATTGGCTTGTGAACTTTCTGGTGGACTAAAATATGACTTTTGCAACTTATCTGACAAAGGTTAACATGTTAGTGTTATTTGACTAGCAGTATATTAGTACTCAGGTTATTTTACGTCTTCTCTCTCTCTTTTTTTCTTTTTGTTCTCATATGATAGATATATACCTTCCGTTAATGCAGTCTTAAGTGTCTTCTTCTTGTACAGCATATTGCTGCCTCCAAAGGATATGAAGATATTACTTGTTTTCTTATTGAACAGAATGTGGACGTTAATATTTCGGGTAAGTTTCTCACATGATATGTCTCTGTTATTTACCTCACGAATTATGCACATATTTTCTGACTGGATATTGCCTCCAGAGAAATCTACTAATACAGTTTGTTTAATCTTAATCAGATAAGTTTGGGAATACTCCCTTGCTTGAAGCCATCAAGCATGGGCATGACCAAGTTGCTTCTTTACTTGTTAATGCGGGAGCATTACTTGCAATGGATGATGCTGGTGGTTTTCTTTGTATGACTGTTGCAAGAAGGGATTTGGATTTGCTAAAACGTCTTTTGGCTGGTGGTGTAGATCCAAATGCCAAAAGTTATGATTACCGAACGCCACTTCATGTTGCTGCCTCAGAAGGGCTATATTTAGCAGCCAAAATGCTTCTTGAAGCAGGAGCTAGCGTTTTCTCAAAAGACAGGTATAATCTGAAAACTAATCTGGTTTTTCAAGAACCAAAAGAGGTTCCATGTCTTAATTTGTTCTTAGCATTTTATGATAATTTTTTATTGAGAAAACTTGTCACTCTAGGATTCATATTTGTAATATATGTATAATTTGACCCTATTCTTAAACCTGCTGCAATGTTTCTCAGTTTCCTGAACTTGGGATAGAGGTGTAAAAGAGATAACTAGAGCCAGAAAAGCTGACATGAATGAAAAACTGGCTTCAGCCTAAACTTGATTCAATCCTATTTGACCAAAAAGTCAATAACCTGAACTCAGAAACAACTTGAACCCAAAATGACTTGAACCTCCTGAAATGAACCTAACCCGAAATGATCCAAATTCAAATAATCCGTTCAAGTCCAATTCGATTTGACTTCAAAAAGAGTCAACAACTTGAACCTAAAAGTAAACTCAGAGTCAAACATGAATTACCCGAATCTAAAATCACCCAAGCTCTAGATGACCCGATCCAAAGTGACCTGATCCAAACCTAACCCGACCTGCCCAATTGCCACGTCTAGAGATAACCCAATAAATTAGACACGATTAATTTTAGAAGAATGTTGCTTTAGTTGAACACATTTTTTTGTTCATAATCGTTGCTGGGTTTTGGAACTTGTGATGGTTCACACTTTAGACTCTTGATGTTGTTAAAACACATTCAATCATCCAACAAATTGAATGAGCCTTTAGCAAGTCACTGCTCAAAACTCTTAAATTTGTTAATTGTCAATAATAAAAGGCCAGTGTTTATCCCAAAATTAAGATAAAAAAGGCCAATAGAAGATTCATAGTTGTGTGCTAATTATGTTTAATAGTTGCTATTTTATACATGTGCTTTGATCTCTGCCTTTCTGCCACGGAATTTTTCAAAAGTTGTAACTTTTGTTAAGCCCTCTTCTGTTAATAGATGGGGAAATACTCCACTTGAAGAAGCCCATATAGCTGGAAATAGGAATTTGATTGGGTTGCTTGAAGCTGCAAGAGCTTCTCAGATGACTGAGTTCTCTGATTGTCTTCGACAAATTCAAGGTACAACTTAAACTATGTTTGTTGTATAGCTTGTTGAAAGAATCTATTCTTGTCCTCGAGTTTTAAGAAATATTCACTGCCCATGAATGTTCATTCTCTTAGATTAAAGTTCTATTCAATTTCTATACCATCTCAACACCTTTTTTCTCATTTAGCCAGGAAATTAAATATTATAACTAATTTGGAATCCTAGACTATTCTTTGAATAGTAGTTTACTCTCTTATCTATACTGTTCTAGGAACAGTAACTATTTTTTAAATTCTTAAATACATCCGTTTTCAGACAGATTTTTTCTCTCCCTTTCGCTGTTTTTGTCATGTGTCGGTTTTCATGGGCTATCTTTTTTCATTGACCTTGGTTATAAGTTAGATATGAGAGTTGTCTACGCAGTCTGCATGCTTCCTAATGTGAAGAAAAATGGAATATGTGGTTAATCTTTTACCACATATTGGGTTATCTTCCCAATCAAACAATAAGATGAATTCGAGTTTGTTTCTGGTATCTTTCTTTTTTTGTTTATTGGTATAGCTTTTTCTTTTGACTCTTTCTTTGTTATTATTTTTTTGGTTGGAAGAACTGTTTTAGTCGTTCTATCAGTGAATGAGATGTAAGGTTGAAAGCTATGTAGTCGATGATTGAGGAAAAAGAAAAGGAAACAAAAGGGAAAAAAAGTTAAGGGTAAAACACCTACAGGGAAGAAGAAAATGATTAGCAAAGTAAGGCTACATAATTCTTTGGATATAGCTTGTATATATGCAGTTGTGTGTAATGGTGAAAACACTTGCATATATGCAGTCGTGTGTAATGGTGAAAACATCTATCTTTTTTCCACTAATAAGATTGAATTTGCATATGTAAGATACACGAATAACATATTTTTCTTTAAAATAGAATTTTGCCAAAATATAATATATTTCACAAACTTATACCTTATTGGCTAAAAACAACTTCGATAAATGTTATTTTGCTATATGATAAATCATAAGTTGGTGAAATTAATATTGTAATATAACATTGTTAATGTCTTTCAAAAATTTTAAAAGACATGCTTCACTTATCCTTTTACCTTTAATATCCGCTGCAGCACGCGGGTAAAAAAAAAAAGCTTGTAATTCCTCACAAATGAAACAACAGTCCCACTTGCTCCTTCCCAGCTCGCATTTCTTCCCTTTCCGCTTCAAGTAATCGAGAAATGCGTTGGTAGCCTGATAGATGTATTTTACATCACGTAGTTTAGAAGCATGCTTTCTGAAGTCTATTAGTTATGATAATTAGATTTGATGGTCGAGTGAGGGATGGATGTCAAGCATATGATCTTTGTAGATGTGATTTATAGATGGAGTTAATTGTTTGAAAAGCTTTCAGCAATGATACTAACAAATATATTGCGAATGACAGGCGAGATGCGGAAGAAGAAATGCACGGTTTTCCCGTGTCACCCGTGGCATCAAGAGGAGAGAAGAGAGGGAGTTGTCTTATGGGTGCCGGAAAGCATGGAAGAACTAATCAAGGCGGCCAAGGAGCAGTTAGAATGCTCTCATGGTTGCTGTATTTTGTCTGAGGGTGGTGGTAAAATTCTTGACACCAATATGATTAGTAATGATCAAAAGCTATTTTTGGTTGATTAGCGATGGGAAAATTTACAATATAATTCTTGAATAACTTGTTATGAAATTTCTCTGATACTTATATACGAGTGCTAATGACAAATTCAGTTTCCTCCCACCCTCTTTCGTTGTTTCCCCTGCTCTTTTGTTTTTTATTTTATTTATTTTCTCTGATTTTCCCCATTTTCACTAATCTTTCTTTTCCTATATTTCTCAATCTTCATTCATGGTTTGCTTTCCCCTCCTTTTTCTTTTAATTATTATTTTTTTGTTTAAATTAATGTTAATCTACACAAAGAATTAAAAAATTTTAACAAAAGAAATAAAAAAAATTTTGTGACTCATATTGTATAAGTTTATAATGAAAAATCAAATGATTCATATTGTGTAACTACATTATATTGTATTCAATATTTGAAATCATCGAAAAGAACAAAAATAAATTTATTTAAATAATTATATATAGATAGTCACGAATAAAAAAAATTAGAGTCAAAAAAGTAAGCAATGAGAGATTCCTCAAATGTCTATCCAAAAACCTCGCTCTGAAAAAATATTAGCATAAAGGTATTATAACCAAAAAAAAATTATTCATATTATATTCTGTTTCAAATTGAAATTATTAAAAAGAAAAAAGCAATTTTATTTGAATAATTGTATATAAGTAGTCCTACACAAAAAGAAATGTTAATATTTAGGTATTATTTTTTATCATTTTTTCCTTCTCTCTTTTTTCAAAATTTTTTCCTTTTTGCTTTTCGGCATTCTCTCTTAATTTTAATAAAAAGTTTTTTCAGGAAAAAAAAATTTAATAAAATGAACTAAATAAAAAATTAGTTTAAATGCCACATGATGTGTAAATAAACTTTTAAAGGTCTAATTGATTTAATAAAAACACGATTAGAAAATAACTCGTCAAAGTGTAAATAAAAAGAATTGTATAAATTTTTAAGAAAGAATTATAATAAGACAGGTAAATAACTTATCCCTTAAGGGTTATTTTTTTATTTATCACTAATATACATTCCGTGCTTTGCACTCGGGGCATTATGTTTTACTTTTTATTTTATATTTTTTTATCAAATATAAATTTGATTTAAAATAATATTCACGTATCACTTTAATTACATATTTAAAAAATTAATCTTTATATAAGAATAATTTTTTTTGACTTCTCTCAATTCAGGACGTGTTCATTTCAAGATTTGTTTTTCTTTTTTTCACATAATATCATTACATAATGAATGTTCAATGAGTCCTCACATTTGATCTTGGCATTTTCTTGTTGTCATGTGCATGCACCTTTTCGGATGTTGGGCTTTTATGATTGCTGTAGTTGTAGCCTACATCCAAAAGATGCTTAATTGGTGGTCTGCTATTAATTGGGTATTCTCAAGGCATTTTCTCTACCAATTAAAGGCACATCACGAAGATATGTGTCCAGTAAGTGATCTTACGATTTCTACTGTACTGAGAGGTTTATTCTTTGACACTTTCATTTGGGGTCTTTTCACTGCATGTTCTGTGCATGATCCGAAGGTTCATCTAACACATATGGTTTAAGTTGTCTTACACTTTCATGCCTCCTTGTCATGCTTCACCACAACTGCAAAGGACCTGACATGCCCAAAATTAATGGTGTTGAATATGCTCTCCATCTTCTCATTAATAATTCAACATTTTGATAAAACTTCATATATAAATATACTGCAATAAGAATTTAGAACACAAAGTGTACCTAATTTTTTGATCCATGGTTTAACGGTGGAAACAATATTGACCAAATTGATTGCTAGTCTTCAGTGCACTAGGATCTTTTCCTCGTTTTCTTTGTAGCTCTCTAATGGATGAGATTTTTATGTTTTTTTGCTTAGACTAGAGAAGGGAACTAGCCTTCCTTTATATAGTGAATCTCTAGTCCAACCCATCATAGGATATAGGGCTCCTACATAGGCCCACACATTAAGTCCACATTTATTCTATTCATGTATCATTACTACATACATGAATCAGTAGATTCATGTATCATTATTGATTACATATATGAATATGTAAATCCAATTATGAGATATAATTAATTGTTACTTTATCAAGACCAAATAAGCTTAGTCTATTTTATAAAAGACAAAATAAATATAAATAATGTAAGTCCATAATTTTGTATTGAGAAAATCTAACAATCTCCCACTTGCACTACATTATTTAAATTTTTAAATTTTCAAAACACTTTTCTTGAAAATGACTCATAGGCTAAGACACCTTAAAATATTATGAGCTCAATTTAAAAAATTAACTGGCCTTGAGACATACTTCAATAATCCTTCTATCCAATAAGATTTATGATATAGGAAAATAGTAGTAATTACGTCTATTAATATACATAACTAACTATAATCACATATGTCACTGAATCTTATCGACATGAAGTAAATGTGGTAGTGTAGCAATAATTAACAATACATCCGTGATGATCTATATTCATGTGTTGTATTCGTTTGTCAGTTACTTCATTCTCTTCTTGATACAGCTCATGCATGTAAGAGAAATACTTCATGGTTTATTCAGTGAACTTGCATGTCTGTTTTGCATATCTCAAGATTGTTTTATGTGTCGAAGACATACTTTCAAGGCTGTAAATTTATGCCCTAGACTATGCTTAAAACTGAGACATATTTTAAGTCTTAATATTTGCAAGTATGTATGTATACAAAAAATTTGTATGACTAAATATCATTTGAATAATCATCAAAATAAATTTAAATATATTATCAATATTATGTATTTGAACAAAAGCAAATAAAACAATATCAAATCCTCCAACTATCTAAGTACATCAAAAGACTCTAGAACACCCATATCATAAGCATGTTTCTTGAAAGTAATAGCGCATAGTCCTTTGGTTAGTGGATCAACGATCATGGCATTAGTTTTAATACGCTTTACAACAATGGCAACATTTTCACAACTTTTTTAATTGTCAAATATTTTATCTCTATATGCTTGACCCTTGTGATGTTTCTATTATTGTTAGTGAACATAACTGCTGTAAAATTATCATAGTATACCTGTATGGGTCTAGCAATAGAGCCAACCACCAATAGTTCCTTAATTAGATTTCTTAACCAAACTGCTTGTGTAGCTGTTCCATAACATGCCATAAATTCTACTTGCATAGTAGATGAGGTCACAAGTGTTTGTTTTACACTTTTCCAAGATATTGCACCACTTGCTAACATAAAATTATATTTTGATGTGGATTTCCTATCACCTGTACAGCCGACAAAGTCTGAATCAATATAACCCACTAATTTAAGATCTTCAATGTTTTGATAAAGTAGCATATAGTTTTTGGTTCTCTTTAAATATCTCCTCCTTTTCTTGATAATGATACTTTCTAGATGTGAAAATTTCTCCTTGAATTGATAGTTTCTTATACAAATTTGGAGAATATCTCTTGAAATGCTTGCTTGACTATAATTTGGAAGAATGCATGCTAAATGAATAGTTAATGGTTGAAAGTGCTTAATAACCATATTCTATTGATATTTGATGATATGATCTTATCAAGGGAATTCTCCTTGAATTTGCTATTCTTATATGAATTGGAGAATTTTTCAAAATAATTGATTGGTATTACTTAGTTGATAATGCTTAATGACTATGCTTGATGAAAATTGAAGATTGCTTATGGATACTTGAAAATGAGTGCAACTGATGCTTGATTATCGATGATACATTGGCTATAATTAGGAACTACTTTGTGTATATCTTGAAAATATGAGTATTTGATGCATTTGATAAAAATCCTTTTAAAGGCACATACTTTTTTAGTTTCATGAATACTTGAGTATTAGGGAAATATATTGCATATTTATTTGAATGCTCATTTATTCTAAGCTCATGATTTCTCTCATAAGATTTGATTTATTAAGAATCTCTAACAATTTATGTTAACACACTCACATGCATTACCTGTGATTCCCTCATACAGTGCTTTGATACCATCGGTTGAAATTACCCCGGATAATGCCGACGTTGGGAAATTACTTCGATGGATGATTTGTTTTTCTTTAACTACTTCGACGTTGTGTGTGATCTGTTTCTTACTCGTTGCTTTGGCACTAATGCTATCTATTTCTCCACTAATGGCTTTGCCTTGAGCCTAATCTAATTCTCCACTGGTTGGCCACTGTGCATGATCTGACTGTGTCTAGAAGAAGACCGCTTGTTGATTTGAATTGTGCATGATGTGAGATAACCATAGAGAGGCTTAGATAAATGTGGTATGACTCTGATGTAATCCTTCAACGATTAGAGTGTGCCATGGAGAATGACTTGAATAACTTTGATCAACTTCGAGGGTAAACCTAATGATATGTGTGATGATCTTTAGAAATATTGAGGATGATGATATGCCTTATATTTGAAGATGTTTATTTGAGCATCTAGTTGCATGGAAAGTGAATATATTTTTATATGTATTATATATATATATATATATGATTTTGTTTATCTGCACCACATACTGAGTATTATAGGACTCACCCATTTGTATACCATGTGCAGATAAATAGGCCACAGAGCTGTGTGGTAAAGGTCATCTAGCGATGGATCGATTTTTGCATCCAATAAGTTCTCCTTTTTGGTCAAACTACTACGTCAATTAAAGCCTTCCGCTGTAGATAATGTGTATGGGCACTGAGTGCCATGTTATATTGCGTGTAAGGGTTGTTATATACTAACCCGCCTTGATTGGCCAATGTATGGCCTTTTGACCATTTGTATAAACTATGTGTCAAGGATAATGTATTTATGTTTGAATTTATTATGAATATATGATTATTAAATCCTTTGGCTTTTGTTATATGATTTTGGACTCTTAGGCTTGCTCAAGTCTAGTGGGCTTACCTACTAGGCTTATGCACTGGTCACGGCTCTAGATTTGAGTCGTGACAAAACATGACCTAGATATCTAATAGCTCAAGCTTCCCAATAGCAATCACAAACAAACACATGTAGTAACATATATTAATAACATACTAGCCTGGCATACTCATTTAAGGATAAACATAACAATTTAGTACCATGGTAGGCATTAAACAATGTATGATGCATCAC